ATTTTTATTTTGTTTTGTTTTGTTGTGCTGGATTCATTTATTTCTCTTCATTCTTGCTTGTCATTATTTCCCTTTTTAGGCCATCTTGATTTGCATATTCAACCAGAATTTGACTTGGATGTAAAATGTCTCAACAGATCATTGATATGACTTTCAAATATACTGGGGGAAAATGGTTGAAGTTATTCATTTTGATGAGCTATTTGGAAAAAAATTTTTTCCAATTTAAAAAAAATTAGTGAAGTTATCATTTGTGTGTATTTGATGTCTGAAAAGTTAGCTATTATATATTCTCAAGTTGTGTATTTATAGTACTGTATTGCTGAAGTCGTTATCCATTTTCAAAATTGGTATTCTAATAATTTGCTGGGACTAAAATTCTGAAAGAACGAAAATTATCTTTAGTATATAGTATGTTGAAAAAGATGAAAGAGCTCAGATGAGTTTTAAAATGAAAACTGGTTTTAATACATTGCTTTAACTACTTACTCTAAGGGTCTGTTTCTTTATTTCTTATTTTTTAAACTTTTATTTTTTTCTTTTTTACTGTCCAACTTTCTGTTGATTTGAAGGGTCTGTTTCTTTTGTATTTTTTAAGTTACGTTTTATTGTTTGTTTTGAAAAGGCAACATATTCACATGGTTCAAACATCAAATCAATTTAAAAATACATTGAGAAGTTTAGCTCTTAACATTTGACCACACTATTGTTCCCTCTGCCTATATCTCTTATAGGTAACTATGCTTGTTAGTTGTTTTTTTGTTATGTTTTGTTTTGTTTTTGAGAAAGGGTCTCACTTCAGTTGCCCAGGTTGGAGTGCAGTGGTGCAGTCTTGGTCACTGCAGCCTCAACCTTCTGGGATCAGGTGATTCTCCTACCTTAGCCTCCCAAGTAGCTAGGACTACAGGTACCCATGGCTAGTGTTTTTTTTTTTTTTTCCAGTGGAGATGGGGTTTTGCCATGTTACCCAGTCTAGTTCCGAATTCCTGGACTCAAGCAATCTGCCTGCCTCAGCCTCCCAAAGTACTGAGATTACAGGTATAAGCCACTGTGTCCAGCCTTGTTTGTTTTTTTGTTTTGAGACAGAGTCTTACTCTCTCCCAGGCTGGAATGTAGTGGCATGATCACATTTCACTGTAGCCTAAGCCTCCCAGGCTCAAGAGATCCTCCCACCTCAGTTCCCCGATTAGTGGAAACTACGAGCCACCACACCTGGCTAATTTTTAATTTTTTTGTATAGACAGGGTCTCACTATGTTGCCAAAGCTGGTCCCGAACTCCTGGGTTCAAGCCATCCTCCCACTTCAGTCTCCCAGAGGGCTAGGTGGTGTGAGCCACTGTGCCAGTTCGTTTGTTAGTTTTTTGTGTAGCTTTCCAAAGTTTTTTCTTTTTCTTCTTCTTTTTTTTTTTGAGACAGAGTCTCCTCTGCCACCCAGGCTGGAGTGCAGTGGCAGTGGACTTGGCTAACTGCAGCCTCTGCCTCCTGGGTTCAAGCGATTCTCGTACTGGGATTACAGACACCTGCCACCACATCTGGCTAATTTTTGTGTTTTTAGTAGAGGTGGAGTTTCACCATGTTGGCCAGGCTGGTCTTTAACTCCTAGACTCAAGAGATCTGGCTACCTCTGCCTCCCAAGGTCCTGGGATTACAGACATGAACCACTGTGCCTGACCTATCTTTCCAAAGTTTTGAAATGTAGATACAATATTAGCAAGTATGAATATGTTTTCTTTCTCCTCTTGTACAAAAAATAGCAAATACACTATTCCACATCTTTACTTTTTTTTTCTTCCTCACTGGGTAAGATACCTTGGGGATCTTTTCATAACAATGTGTAGTTTCCTCTTTTCTTGATTTTTTTTTAAATTGCAGAGCATAATATTTCAGCGTACATGTGGAATCTTTTGGTTACTGGAGAATTTCCAGTTTTTTTGCTGTTATATATAGTGCTGCAAACACACACACACACGCCCGCACGTGTGCGGGTATATCTGTAGGACAAATTTCCTGGAATTGGAATTGCTAGGTCTGAAGGGTGAATGCATATGTGTTTTGTTAGATATTGCCACATTTCTCTTCATAGAGGTTTTACTGTTTTGTTCTTTGACTAACAGTGTACAAGAGTGCCTTTTTCTCCATGAACTAATTGTTATCAAACTTTTTATTTTTATAAGGTTAATAGTATCTTAGTATGTGGGTTTTAAAAAAAAAAAAAACAAATTAAAAAATATGCTTTCCTTTTAGAGCAATTTTATGTTCAGGGCAAAACTGAGCAGAAAATAAAGAGTTCCCTTACACTTCCTGTCCCCCACCATGTGCAACCCCCCTAGCTTTCTGGATCTTCTGTACTTCTGCACCACAATGGCACGTTTGTTAAAAATCAACAAATCCATGGTCGGGTGCAGTGGCTCAATCATGTAATCCCAGCACTTTGGGAGGCTGAGGCGGGTGGATCGCGAGGTCAAGAGATCAAGACCATCCTGGTCAACATGGTGAAACCCCGTCACTACTAAAAATACAAAAAAAAAATTATCTGAGCATGGTGGTGCATGCCCAGCTACTCAGGAGGCTGAGGCAGGAGAATTGCCTGAACCCAGGAGGTGGAGGTTGCGTTGAGCCAAGGTTGCGCCATTGCACTCCAGTCTGGGTAACAAGAGCGAAACTCCATCTAAAAAAAAAAAAAAAAAATCAACAAATCCACATTGACATATTGTCACCCAAATTCTGTAGTTTACTTTAGCGTTGATTCTTAGTGTTACACATTGAATGGATTTTAACAGATGTATAATGACATGTATCCATCATTGTAATATGCAGAATAGTTTCACTGCCCTCGAATCCTCTGTGCTCTGACTATTCACTCCTCCCTCCCTCCCTCCCTTTATCCCCTGGCAACCACTAATTCTTTTACTGTCTCCATCGTTGTGTATTTCCCAGCATGTCATATAGTTGGGATCATATCGTTTATAGACTTTTTAGACTGGCTTTTGTTACCTAGTAATAAGTAAGTTTCCTCCATGTCTTTTCATGGCTTAGAAACTCATTTCTTTTAGCACTAAATATTCATTTGTCTGGATGTACCACAGTTTATCCATTCACCTACTGAAGGACTTTTTGGATGCTTCTGGGTTTGGGCAATTATGAATAGAACTGCTAGTAACATCTACATGGGCTGGGTGTGGTGGCTCATGCGTGTAAATCGTAACACTTTGGGAGGCTGAAGTGGGAGGATCGCTTGAACCCAGGAGTTCATGACCAGCCTGGCAACATAGTGAGACCCTGTTGCTACAAGAAATTAAAGATTAGTTGGGTATGGTGGCATGTGCTTATAGTGTCAGCTACGCTGGAGGCTGAGGTGGGAGTATTGCTTGAGCCTGGGAGGCTGCAGTGAGCCCCTGATTATGCCATTGCACTTCAGCCTAGACAACAGTGAGACCCTATCTCAAAAAAAAAAAAGATATCCAGGTGCTGGTGTTTTTGTGGACATAAGTGTTTATTTGGGTAAATATCAAGGAATTGGATCATATGGTAAGAGTATATTTAGTTTTGTAGGAATCTGCCAAACTGTTTTCCAAAGTGGCTGTACCATTTTGCATTCCCACCAAAAATGAAGGAGAGTTCTTACTGCTTCACATCCTTGCCAGCATCTGGTGTTGTCTGTGTTTTGTCTTGTGGCCATTCTAATAGGTGTATAGTGGTGTGTTGTTTTAAGTTGTAACTCCCAGAAGACATAAGTTGAACATCCGTTTGTGTACCTTCCTTGCCGAGGTGTCTGTTTTGGTCTTTTACCTGGTTTTAAAATCGGATTGTTTGTTTTCTTATTGTTGGGTTTTAAGCATTCTTTGTTTATTTTGGATTAACAGTTTTTTATCAGCTGTATTTTTTTGCAAATATTTTCCCCCGGGCTGTGGCTTGTCTTCTTCTTCTCTTGTTAAATTTACTGTAACAAGTAATTTGAATTTTCTCAAATGGATACATGGAATCTCTTCTTTCCTCAGCTCAGGACTCAGCTAGTTTTCACTGTCTTCCAAAATTCTTTATTTATTTATTTATTACTATTTTTTTTTGGAGCCACGGTCTTGCTCTGTTGCCCATGAAGGAACACAGTGGCGTGATCACAGCTTACTGAAGCTTAACCCATATGGAAAAGTGCAAAATTGAAACTATATGTATAGCTTGTTGAGTTTTCTAAGTGAATCTATTATTGGCTTCTCAGTTTGAATTTGCATTTCTCTCAGCAGTGAAGTTGAGCATTTTTTCATATGGTTTACGGCCATTTCTGTTTCTTCCTCTGTGAACTGTTAGTTCATATCTCTTACCTAGTTGTTATGGGAATTACTGACCTTTTTTCCCCTCCTAGGAAGTCAGTAAAAACTGGGGATGTTATTCCTTTGTCTGAGATGAGTAATATTTTTTGCCTCATTATTTTCATCAGTCTTTTGACTTTGCTGTTGGTTTTGCAGTAACAAGTAATTTGAATTTTCTCAAATGGATATGAAGCAGGAGCGGCCACGAGAAACTGGGAAGGAAGAAGTGTTTTATTATTTTATTAGGGTTTATTATTATTATTATTACAATTTGTCTAAATGACCAAGCTCGCCTAACAAAGAGAAGCTCTACCTTTATATAGGCTTACACTTTAGATATTACACATGAAAGAATCTTAGGTTTACAGCCTTAGAAATTACAAGTGAAAGATTCTTGTGTTTATAGTTTTAGAAATCACATATGAAAGGGTCTTGAGTCTACAGCTTTAGAAATCACATATGAAAGGGAGTGGGGTGGGGTTTTGATCTTAAGTGAAAACAATGTCTTCTGGAGAGATTCCCCCATGCCATGCCTGCTATTTACAGGAAGGTGATTTAGGAGGTGCCAGTCGGCCAGCCTTTTTTTTTTTTTTTAAAAAAAAGAGTTTACTTAGAAAGTATAGTGTAAACAAACCAATTGTACCACTTTGATTTTCTTGTAATACAAGACTCATGATGCAAAGCTGGAGCCACTCGACAGTTGTGCTTCTCTAGAAGGTTTTTTTTTTTTAAGTGGTCTTGTTTCTAAGATTCCTACCACCAGTTACTTTGGACCAAGTGTCCACATCCCCCTGTGCATAGGAGGTGGGTGAAGGGTGTTGGACGCAAAGTGGTTACTATGGGAAGTAGCTCAATAGTGAAAGGACAAACACCTGTCTTAGAGCTTAGTCCTACAAGTGCTTATTCCGGAAGGAGATAGGAAAAGTGTTTACTCACAAGGATAGCATGAGTTAGAGGATGCTGGCATCAACAGCTGCCACAGCTGTGCACATCAGGGCCAGAGCAATCCTGCTGACATCTGTCTTTGGTCTTGAGATCAAATACATCCCATTCTTCATACATTAGAAAGTCGACCTTCTTGAAGTGGACCAAGTAGAGCAAGCCTCTAAAAGGACTACTGAGGGACAGAATCAGAAACTGTCTAGTTAGGGCCCTTCAGCGGAGCTGCAGAGCCTCACTGGATATCCAGGCCTGGGAATGCCTATCTGATCTTGTCACCCCAGGAGACAAATACAACCGGAATCTTCCTATGAGTTAATGAAATACTCAGAACGAGCCTCGTGGAATTTTCCATGCCTACCCTTTCTATGGGAGACATCCAGTCTTAAAGTTCACGTGGACTCTGTCTTCATGTTAATGTGATGAACTAAAGAAATGTTTTGCCTCGTGAGAAACCTTCCTGAACGGTAACTGATGTGACAAGTAACGAAGTTATAGCATTAACATTCTCTTACTCAGGCACAGTCAGAAGTACCGCTGCTTTCATTACGGCTAACCTCTCCCATTGAGAAGGTATTCACAGAACAGAAGCTCCAGCAGTAGCCGTGAAGATATCTTCCAGAGGTGTGGGTTTTTGCATTTAAATCTGCTCCATGCTACGGACCAACAGCAGTATTAAGTCAACTGTGACCTTAAGATCAGAGGAACGTCGATACTGCCACAAGGCCACCTTTCCAGAACTCGTGGGCAGTTAACAAACTATGCTTTGGATGTGCTTGCTTTCACCAAAATCACCCAGGAGCCAAAAATAGTGTAGCAATTTGATTTCCCTCAACTCTATTTTAATCTCAAAGGAAACCATTTAAATTTCATCAAGAGAGGGTCAAAGGGGATATATCGCCACTGAAAATATTTAGTTTACACAGTGACTGTGAGTTACACATTTACTTAGAGAAACTAAGAATCTGTAGAGTGTGTTGGCTTGAGAAACAGAGAAGATACCACATGCTCAGTATGTTCTGCTTTCTGAACAGCCACCACCAGGATCCCAGTGGCCTCTGTGGGATTGAACTCCTAGATTCAGGGTGCAGGAGCCCAGCAAGAGAGGTGACTTCTGTGTTTCTAGAGTTTGTCTTTTGCTTGGCCGAGGACAAAGTGGTGTAACAAGTCAAGATCTCTGCCTCCACTGTGCTCGCTGACTTTCTTCCCTCCTCAGAAAAGCAACAATGTAGGGTAGCCTCGAACCAAATACTTGCTGTAAATATTCTGTTCAGTGGTGCAGTCTACTTCGGCTATCTTGACCCCTGCCAGACCAGGGAATTCCTTTTTGGAGAGTTCCTTCCAAGTGGGAGCCAGATTCTTACAATGACCACACCATGGAGCATAAAACTTGATGAAGGTTATTCCTTCTGCAATGGTGTCATCGAAATTCTTCTCAGTGAGTGCCAACACAGTGCCCTTGTCATCTTCAGGCTCGGCTGCCAGCACCAGGGCCTCTGAGGGTGTGATGGTCTCTGCGGCTCCAGTCTCTGTGCACTGCAGCTGTGACTCCACGTAATCCCTCAGTGACTCCAAATCGCGCTTTCCCTTATGCTGAGCAACCTTTTTCCCATCTCGGAACCAGAGAAGAGTGGGATAGCCATGAACCTGGTTTCTGGAGCAGAGTTCATAGTGCTGTGTACAATCAACCTTGCCAATCTTGACAGTTTCAGAATGTTCAAGGCCCAGAGCAAGCTGCTCCCAGGTTGGAGCCAGAGCTTTGCAGTGACCACACCATGGAGCCAAGAACTTGATAAAAGTGGTTGCCTTGTGCAATGTGCAGCTCAAAGTTGCTCACTGAGAGCTCATACAGCCCCAGCTCAGGGGCTCTGGGTGGTTCCACTTCTGGCTCTGGTGTCACTTGCTTCTCATACAGCGTCTGTAGCATCCAGTTTTCCAATGTCTGGAAGTCCTGAGGACCCTGGTACTTCACAGCTTCTTGGCCTGGCTTGAAAAACTTTACGTAGGGTATCCTCGCACCCGCTGGGTGGAGCACACGTCAGAGTTGGCCGTGCAGTCCACTTTAGCCATGTAGACTTTGGCATCTTCCATGCTGTTGTATTTGTCTCCCAGGTCATTCCAAGTCAGCTGCAGCTGCTGGCTGTGTCCGTGCGTGAACATGTTGGCTGTGCACAGGTGCTTGCTGTGAGGGTCATGCCTGTCCCTCTGTCTGCCGCGGGGGGCCCGTCTGCCGCCGCCACCCCCTGAGCCCAGGCTCTCCAACGTCTGCCACTGCCATGGCCCAGCAGCAGCAGTAGCGTAGTCAGGGCCGACAGCTGGGCCAGTGGCGGGAGGAGGCATCCTGGGCACGTGGGCATCGAGGCTGGGCCGGGCGCTGGCCAGCCTTTTTTTCTACTGAAATGCAGTGTGGATGGAAGTCAAGGGGGAGGTGATCCTAGATGCCTCGGTCTCCTTCCTCACCACCCCCTTTGAGACCCTCACCACTCTATAATATTTGTGAAAGGTCTCATTCATTCTTTTTCCAGATCCTCTGAAGAAACTGATTGGTAATGATTCATATAATATACTTGTGATGCCATTTTTTGGCTAACTACAGTAGTGATGAATCCTGTAATCATCTGAAGGAACGGGGAGTAAACAAGGGAGTAACAAACAAACGCCTATTATTACTATGACACTTATGATGAGAGTCTTGAATCCTCCTAAGTATGAGAACCAACCTCCAAACAAAGACTCAGGGTTAAATCCGTGCTATACCACATGTGCCAGTTTGGTCATGTCTCGTACAATATCCTCCACTGCTTGACCCTGGTCGTCTATGCGTAGGCAGCAGTTGGTTAGATGGAAATTTCCACAGACTCCTCCTTTAGCTGCCAGCAAATAATCTAGGGCTAGCCAGTTCTGATGAATCGCATTTCTCATTTGAGTTTCTCGTTGGGCCAAAAGGGACAGAGTTTTGCCTGTTTCATTAGTGAGTATTTCCAAAACAACCTGCAACCGGATGATCTGTTTGAGCATGTAAATATGAGTCTGGTATCCCCATGAGCCATCCTCCATCCATGTGGTCGGCCCATAATACTCAATAATTCTCTCTGGTGGCCACTTATCATCTGTCCATTCTCCTATCTTTAGGTTTCTTTTCTCCCTAGCAGAGTAGACTGGATACCCTAACAGCTCATGTGTCTTAACAGATAATAGGAAAAAAGAAGGCTTAATGATGCCTATGACACAGCTATCTGTCCATCTTTCAGGCAGCTGTATGTATGCCGTGTGTCCGCATATCCAGTACAACCCAGGCAGGGCTGTCCAGTATTTCCAGTACCCAGGATGATCCCAAGCATCCTGTAATTTTGGAAATTTTAGGAGGGGTTTTTTTCTTTATTGTTTGAGCTCCACCAGGTTACAGTGCCAACGGTTTCATTATGAAGTTGCTCCCCTAAGAAGCTAAGCTTCCCTACTGGAATAGTGAAGCCTGTTCCTTCTCTGGCTGAACAGTATTGTCCAGTAATTTGAAAACCCAGAAACTGTTGGTTTGAACCCTTTGAACTGAGGTCAGGTCATGGATAGGGTCAGAGGGTAATAACTCACGGGCTTTCTATGGCCACCTGTCACCCATAGTCGTCCCTCCACATACGTAGCAAGAAGTGACATTGAGGGAATGGGCCACATTTTCAGCAAGTTGGAGGAACAAGTTCTTTGTCTTTTTTGGAAGTTCTGGTATTGGCTTATTTAATGTATCATAAAAGTGCTGGCACACTGGCTGGGCTGAGTGTTTCTTGATTTTTCCCTGAATCTGGATGCTGACTTCCATCAATTTCTAGCACTACACTCTCCCCTTTTTTCTCATTTGAGTTCTTAGGGGTTTGTGATTATTCTACTGTGTTACAATGTCCTGAGACGTAGGGGACATTACCCCATGGAATGGTGTCTCTCCCTTTTACAAGGCGAACAGGATCATTTTTATCATTTTTCCAAGTGGCCCAGGTGACACATGATCAATAGGGGCAGTCATAGCACCAGTAGGTTTTTTGGCAGAGGTACTTATGCTCTTCTGCATAACTTTGTTCCCATCCGAGGGAACCACAGTACCCCCCCACTGGAAGGACAGACATTGATGGCTGCACAGGCGTCAAACCTTAGGGTGACCTGCTTTGGGCTTCCCTTCTCTGTTTTAGCTATTAGTTTAGTAGGGCTATTCCATTGCCCTGTTAGGAGTCTAATTTCAAAAGTCGTATGTGTAGGGGGCTCTGATGGTCGTAGCATACATCGGGTTGTCCATCCCCTGGATTACATACCTTACATTGAGCACCATTATATAAACTGGTTCCCTTTTATGTCCCTGTGCACGCACTCATAATAACTGTATAACAAAAGAACGTCAGTAACTTTGTCTTGCCTTAGTAACCTGGTGTACATACTGAGAGCATTCTTCAAAATTAGTTATGGTCCCTACTGTACAAGTCCAAATATTAAGAAGAACAAGTCCCATGATGCATTTCCTCATGCTTTGGCCGTATGTGGAGCAGCCAGCTTCCGGGATGTGGCTGGAGCAGGGCTCCTTGTCCTTCTTAAGGTGATTTTGCAGTTGTTGTGTGGGTTTGATGTAGCTTGCCAAGTTCCAGCTGTTGCTGGTTTCACATGACTGTGGTGGATTCAGGCTGGGATTCCCTCTACCTTTATGTCTGTGGGGGTGGTCAGGATCATGGTCTGGGGTCCTTTCCACTGTGGCTTCAGAGGGGCTGCACTCCAGTCCTTTATCTACATGTGATCACCTGGTGAGAAAGGGTGAACTGGGGAGAATAAGCTTATAGGACATCTTTCATTTACTCAGGATGAAATATCCTGAGTGATTTTCCCTAGAGCTTGTAACTAGCGTCCTAAGTCAATCTCTCCCCACTCCCAAGGAGTTCCTGGGAGTGCCCAGAGTATGGGAGGGGGCCTGTGATATAAGACTTCATAGGGGTAATATCCTGTCCTTCTAGAGGGAGTCCATCTAATTTTGAATAACACCAAGGGAAGTGCCTGCACCCACTTTAATCTTGTTTCCTGACACACGTTCCCTAAGCTATTTTTGATGGTTTGGTTCATTCTTTCCACTTTTCTGGAACTCTGAGGTCGGTAGGCAGCATGCAGTTTCCAAGTAATACCCAAGGCCGTTGCTGTTTTCCAAACCGCCACAAATGCTGGTCTGATGTCTGATCCAATGCGCAGTGGCAGTCCAAACCTAGGGATGAGATCTCGAAGCAGCACATGGGTTACTTCATGGGCCTTTTCAGTCCTAGTCAGGAAGGCCTCTACCCACCCAGAGTATGCACACCAAGACTAACAAATAGGCGTTTCAGTAAAATCTACCTGGAGATCTTCAAACGGAGCTGTTCCATAAGCTTGAATGCCAGGGGGAATAGTTGGACCTTGCCTCACGTTGGGCTGTTGACATGTAATACATCGCTGCACCACAGTTTTGGTCAGGGCTAAGTGTGAGATGTAAAAGTACCGGCCTAACAACCTCTAGTGAATCTTGACCTAAATGAGTGGTTTCATGTACGGCTTGTACAACCACAGCCCCTAATAGCCACGGTACAGCTATTCTTCCATCTGGCAGCCGAATCCATCCTTTAATCAGTTGTTCCCCCTCTGTCTGGAGAAAGTCTTTTTCCTCCTTAGAGTAAGTAGGCAGCAAGTTGGGTATCTGGGGAATCAGAGGGGCTGTAACTGCTGCTCGGTAGGGAGCAGATGCTGCCTTACCTGCTGCTGAATCAACTCGGGAATTTCCCAGGGCCACAGAGGTGTGGGCCCGCTGATGTCCTCAGCAATGCATGACTGCCACCCTCCTTCTAGACTGCTTCTAGCAACTGCAAAATTTCATGTTGATACTTTATTTCTTTCCCCCTAAATTTAACAGGCCTTTTTCTTTGTACATGTACTTGGGGAGTCAGGAAGGCATATCAAGAATCAGTGTGAATGTTTACAACCTTATCTTTACTCAGCTCTAGGGCTTGGGTCAGAGCAATAAGTTCAGCCTTCTGAGCCAAGGTACCCTGAGGCAGTGACTTGGCCTCGATTACAGTGTCCAGAATTACCACTGCATATCCTGCACACCTTTCCCCTCGTGGATTAACAAAAATTCTCCCATCCACATACAACTCCCAGTCTACTACTGTCCATGGCTGATCCTGAAGATCAGGCCTGCTGGAATAAACAGAGTCCAAGATTTTGACACAGTTGTGTTCAACTGGGCCCTCTGAAATCGGGAACAAAGTTGTGAGGTTTAAAGTGTTGCAGACCTCAATGGTGGTGCGGCGATTTTCACATAGCAGGCCCTGGTATTTGGTCAGCCTAACATTTGTTAACCAGTGAGGCCCTGTGGTATTTATTAGAGTCACTAGTGCGTGAGGTGCCTTGATATTTCAGTTCTGCCCCAGAGTTAGCTTATCTGCTTCTTGTGCTAGCAGAGCAGTTGATGCCAGGGCCCTTAAGCATGGGGCCCATCCCTTGGAAACTCCATCCAGCTGCTTAAAGAAGTAAGCTACAGGCCTGGGCCATGGTCCCACTGCTTGGGTTAGGACCCCAACTGCCATTTTTTCTCTTTCTGCTATATATAATGTGAAGGGCTTTGTTAAGTCAGGCAGCCCCAAAGCTGGAGCTGACATAAGTTTAATTTTCAGTTCCTGATAGGCCTGACGCTGCTGGGATGGATCCCCTATTTCAAGGACTCCTTGTCTCCCCACTTTGTCACATCAAATAGGGGTTTGGCCAGTACTGCAATGCTCAGAATCCACAATCTACAGAAACCCACGGCTCCCAGGAACTCCCTCAGCTGCCTTCTAGTCTTGGGTTCTGACAGGTTGCAAATGACTTGCTTCCTCTCTGTTCCTAGGCTGCGGTCCCCCTTCTGGATGGTGAACCCCAGATATCACACGTGCTGTCAGCAAATCTGGGCTTTCTTTTTAGACACTTTATACCCACAGCCCTCCAGGTGCTGAAGTAAGACATCTGTTCCTTTTACGCACCCAACTGCTGTGGGGTGTCCCAATAAAAAGTCATCAGCATATTGGAGCAGAACACAGCCTAAGTCTTTAGCTGGAAACTTTTGGAGGTCATGGGCTAATGCCTCTCCAAAGATGGTGGGAGAGTTCTTGAACCCCTGGGATAGCCAGGTCCAGGTGTATTTGGTAGTTACACCTGTTTCTGGATTTTCCCATTGAAAAGCAAATAGTTTCTGACTTTGAAAAGCCAGCTTGATGCTAAAGAAGGTGTCCTTTAAGTTCAAGTAGGTGAACCAACTATCCTTCACTGGGAATAATCCCAGCAGTGTGTATGGATTAGGCACAGTTGGTTGCAAAGTCACTGTGGTTAA